ACTATTTTTCTTAAAGCTAAGGCTAAAAAGGGGTAAAATTCGCAAAGTCGCAAAATTCGCAAAGTGGCCAAAATGGCCAAGTTAGATGGCCTCAGCACAGAGCTGGGGATCAATGCGGAATCCCACAGCTTTGACATAGGGGTTGCGCTGATCCCTGCCATCAGCAATGATCCTGTCAATGATTCTGGTAACCCTGCCATCACCCTGGTAAACGCGCAAGATCTTGGCATTGACAGCTTGGATGTTGTTACCAGCATTCACCAGGTAGGCTTGTAGCTTCCAGACCTTGCTGCGCCTGTAGTACTTCTGCTTGATCCCAAGCATGCGTTGTTCTTCTCCAAGGTGGTGAAGGACTTGGCAGCCTTGTTGTCGCCAATGCCAAAAATGAACTCCTCCCAAAGCTCCATCAAACTCCTAGGGCGCTCAATCAACCTAGCACTTGATCAATCGTGCCCAACCTAGGAGCCACCGCATCAGCCTTGCTCGCTCCAACGGTAAATTCGGCAGCATGTTGCGGCGCCTAGCCTGCTCTTGGGATCACCGCGCACAAAGCCTGCCCAATAGTCCCACCATACCTGCGCTGATTGTTGTTGACACGAGCAAACTGCTGCTGGCACCATTGACGATGTTTCTTGGTTTTCTGCATGGTGTCGAATCGTTGCGTCATGTCTTCTCGATTGCGACAATACATTGTGATTGATTAATCTAACGATCTAAGAGATGTAAAGTTGTATTTCCAAATAAGTGAGCAGTTATTGATATTTTCTAGAATAAGCCGTGCTAATTGTAAAGCTGTAAACTGAATTGTAAGCTGTATCCGTCGAACTCCCTTACATCTGAAATGAAGCGTGGAGCAAGAAACGATAGGAGAGAGTCCCCAGCAAAGTGCTGAGGTAAATTACCATCCCATGAGGAGCTCGAATGACAGCAAACTTGGGAGCCGGAAGACCCTTAGTAAAAAATGTCGCCCTTTGTTCCAGAGTCGGAATTATTTAGCACGATGCCCTTCGACCCCGATTTGGACCTGAAAAGTGGTACTTCAATGCCAATACTTGTTGCCGCAGAGATGCCAGTGTACATGGTTCATAGCGCGTGTAGACTTGTACTAGCTTAGTGTGTATGTACGAATATGTACCATGTCCTACGGTATCACTCCCAGTGACTATAGAATATGCTTTCCTCTGAAATACTGGGAATCCATCGTTGCAATGTCCGCACAAACTGTTTGCAGGAATAAATAAAGAGAAAGCCTGTAATGACAAAGATGGTATAAAAGAACGTGTACGCAAACGCTCCTTGCATGTACTTGTAGTGGCCCAAGCGCCAAGGATTGGGGGGAATGGGAGCGTAAATGCCAGTATCATTTCTGTTTTCGAGTTTCGTAAACTGAATGGGCTGATATGGTGGAGTTTTGCGTCTGTACTGTCGGAACATCCAGACGATGGGAACGGCCATGTTGAGCACCGTCAGAATGCAAGCCGCGGAGACCATGGCGTAAAAGTGGCGTGCGAGCTTTTCATTGAAATGTTTCAACGGCCGGTCCAACACAACAACATCGACGATTTCGTTGCCAACATCTTGCACGGTTTCGTTCCATAGCAACGGTGACAGTGTGATGATGTCAAAGGTGACTTCGGCACAACAATAAGTCGCGAAATGACCGACCAGCAACCCAAGGATGGCAATAGAGGAAATCTTCGCAAAGGACATCTGTGCCTGCTCAGAGTAAACCTAGCTAATTTGGTAGAGCTAGCTATATATATCTGTTCGATGCAGTGGAGACTTGCGACGTCGCAGATCTGATTCTTTCACTATGATGAGGACGGGGTCCGAGTGGAGATCGATCGAGTTGCAAAGTGAAACAGGCTGCATATTCTCTGTTCTTGTGTTGTTGATGCTATTTTAAAAATATAATATGTAGAGAACTGCGACAATACCATTGTGGATTGATTAATCTAACGATCTAAGAGATGTAAAGTTTGTATTTCCAAATAAGTGAGCAGTTATTGACCTCGGCAGTCTATCTGCCTGAGCCCTCACCCCCTTTTTTGGTATTTCCTGTTTCCTGTTTCCTGTTTCCTGTTCCGGTGAAGCCAAAATATAGGGATAGAGATAGGCACAAGCCAACTCTACAAATTTAGGGGTAGGAATAAATCATGGATATTCAAGGTTAGTATACTCAACACAATAAGCCAGCAGAAGCTACAAAAGTTACAGGTACATACCGGAGTGACAGCTGTAAAATTATGGTTAGCGGGCGGCAACACACGACGAAGTCGGGTGTTGTCGCCAGGGCTACCTTAAATAAAAAAGAAGGTTATAATGAGGGAATGATACGGGGCGGCAACACACGACGAAGTCGGGTGTTGTCGCCAGGGCTACCTTGAAAGAAGGGTGCAATCTCAAACATGTCATCCTTCTTCTATCTGTCTTTCTGCCGAGGTATCGCAGCTCCCGCTGACTTAATTATTTTCTAGAATAAGCCTGCTAATTGTAAAGCTGTAAAGCTGAGTTGTAAGCTGTATCCCGTCGCACTCCCTTACAGCTGAAATGAAGCTGGAGCAAGAAACGATAGGAGAGAGTCCCCAGCAAAGTGCTGAGGTAAATTACCATCCCATGAGGAGCTTCCGAATGACAGCAAACTGTGGAGCCGGAAGACCCTTAGTGAAAATGTCGGCCCGCTGTTCCAGAGTCGGAATATACTTGGCCACGATGCCCTTCGACTCCCCAATATTGGACCTGAAGAAGTGGTACTTCAATGCCAAATACTTGTTGCGCGCAGACATTTTGGGAACATTCACACAAGAAGAACAGCAACCTTGGGTGTCTTTGAACACTGTAGAGCGCACGAACCTAAAAAAAAATTACGTGCATATTCAGTTTGCTACAAATTTCTTTGAGCAAAGCTCGCATAGGAAGCAGTCCCCTCATTGACATGCTGAAGGCAAAATACTCAGCAGCAGTGGAGCTAAAAGTAATGTCAGTCTGTAGCTTGCTGGACCAGATGATAGGGCAACCAAACAGAGTCAGAACAAATCCAGTGCGAGACCTGACGGACACAGGATCCTGATCATCCTCATAACCATACAATCCGGCGAAGCCAGCATCGACCCATCAATCAAGTCCCTGATCAAGTTTAGTGCTAAAACAAATGCCTTGTCACTTGTGCCAATCAATTACCGAATGATACGTTTGATTGCTTGAGCATGGGAATGCCTGGGAATGTGACTGAATCGTGCCAACTGCGAGATGCTCTATCAACAAAGCACTAGAAAAGATTGTGTGATCAGTCTATGAAGGCGACGCTAGATCAGACACGGCAGTAAAGACCACGTTAAACGACAAGCAAATACCCACATAACGATGAATAGCTGCGATTAGCCTCCGGCAACGGCAGTATGCTATATGCAAGATGGAGAAGGAGCACACGCGCGCGGCGCAGGTGTCCAAGAGAGCTTCTTGCTAGCGGTAACAACGAAGCTAATACCAACATTTATACTTTCGAGTGAACTTCTATGTGTGATGTGAAGTCCCGTTTCTTGAGTAAGCTCAAAAAAGACATATGCCTTCCCCGCAGATTCTTCAATGCGACATTGATACTAGTGCCTGGACCGGGAGCAGAAGATCGCAAAGAAGTACCAGCTAGGTATATGGCTTCACACCATGGTGGAGATCTATACATTATCAATCCAGAGTTTTCGTGAGAGCGTGAGCGCACACGATCACCTATTGGACTCCGAGCGAATACAAGGATACAAATACAGTTTAGAAGCACTGAAGCAGAGCGAGCGTGCGAGGTGGTAGTGCGAACCAGCCTATTTTATCTCTAGCACACGATCCAGTTGGGTTCTTGGACTAGAGCAATTTGCATTCCAATATAAGTTAAGATAAGCAATCTAGTGAAGAGCTCCTTATTGAAATCTAAGCAAAAACACATCGTCTGCATGCGCAAAACATGATTTGTGCAATGGAAAGAGCGAGAGGATATTCCAGAACCGAACAACGGACAAGCTAGAGAATCAAGCCCCACAACAGATCATAATAAGCAAACTAGCGCTAGCTATAAAATAATTTAGGTGAATCGCGGCGTCATGTATCCCAATACAGAGAACTCGAGAGCAGATAAACTTATGTCAAGTTTTCAATACCTAAACACTATGTGCGCTGTGCTTCCAGACATCCAATGCTTCTTTGTGACGTGTGTCGAGTAGTGGGAAGATCGGACGATTGAGTCCACACTATTGAGTCGTCAAGCTCTAGATTGGTCACAAATGAAGTGTTATGACAGTGTGGCACCCTTCACAGGAACGAGACCACAGATGTATGGACTACTATGAGAGAGGAGAGAATCTGAACATCAACATCGTTGTGGTCTCGTATTAACACCTATACGACATTTGTGACACATTGATAGTCTAAAGCATAGCATCACCAGAGACAAACTACTATACAAAACATCAACACTCAGAGCAAGCTTCCGCGCATAACTTTCCATCCCAACTCACAATATCGTGGCCTATCCGAAGTACTCGACCACACCTTTTACTACGTCCACTAGAACAAGGTTGCCCTCTTCTGTCAAGCTAAACACATCTTTGACGTAGACTATTAATAATATCTATATTGTGACTCGTCTTCGCCTCGTCACTTATCCCTCTCAATCCTTGTTGCAGCTGTCATAGCATCGCGCACTAGAACTAGGTCGAGTTGAGGTGTCGCAAGCGCGCGTCATAGAAAAATTAGAATCGCTAATGATAAGTCCACGCATTCCCGCATAAGATCCTCTGTCGAGCCTTCAAAGGCTGGCAATCGCTCACTTTGAGGCTCGCGAGTACTTGACCAAGGAACAAATTGGTTCTGAAACTATGTGCCGCATATCCAGGGAATTTCCTGTCGAAGAGTGGGCGACCACGGGAGCATCACGAGTCTCTGTCTGAGGAAATTTTGGCTCCCTTGAAAGGAGGCCAGTGGGCTTTGCGAGAAGAAATGCGCCATGAACGATGAAAGATACCAGTGCAGCGACCTGTCCTAACATATCAGAGAGTGTGAATAAACAAACATTGCACGTCCAGAGCGACATTTGCCATCATGAGTAGTCCCCACAACGATCACACTTTGAGAGTAACTCCTCGAAAGCGCGTAGAGATAGCTACACGACACAAACCTACGAGCGGTGCAGTCGATGGCAACGAAACAATATCGACATCGCCTCTCAATCGTCTTCAACTTCTTCTCGGACACCAAGGCCTGTTCAGAGTCCCAGCCGCTTCTGACGTGCGTCGGTTCTTTTTCTACAAAATACAACCGAGGTTATTCCTTATCTCGTTAGCCGGAGGTGAGAGCTATGAAGATTGGCTCCTGATGCCAGGCACCATCTAGTTGCGGTGGGAGAGTGCAGCAGTATGAGTGGGAAGCGCTCGCCTTTCCAAGTAATGAGCGGCAAGAGTTTGAGGTCCCATGATAGAGGCAGATCGGCAGGCACCGACACTGAGAGGCATCTCCCTGTGTGAAACCAGGGGCTGGGTACGAACTGAGCGGCTCAGAGATCCTGAGGAGGACGCGTAAAAGCGAGCTTATGCGCCATCACACTGAAGAGTCATATCCCTTTATCCATCGCTCACTTCTCGATTCATCCGACCGAATAAGGAGTAATGCATCATCACAATCGTCGACGATGCGGCTTCCTGCAGATTGAGATCGGTGCCTAGAGCGTCTGTATGTTTTCGGCCTTCCGTGCATGTCTGCGATTTAGCATCTTCACTGGACTTGGCTCTAATGGCAATGGGTTCGGAGTGTCGCTCATCGATAAACTAGCGAGGGTCTCGAACGCGCGAAACCAAAAGTGACGATGCAAAAGTAGCGCCTGGTAATTGGGTGTCTCATCATTTTTGGAATTACCAGCTCTAGAACGTGGTCAGTGAATCGTGCGTAACGCAAGAGTAAAGTTCTGTGTAAACTACTAAACTCAACTGTGTACAATAGCACACAGATGGTACTGAGGAAAAAAGAGGTATGCGCCGAAGACAGATAAGCCGCGAGCGAAAAACCATAATATGCAAAGAATGGAAAGGTGAGGTGCCAACATATTGTCCTCTCCTGGACCTGGCTTGGACGAGTTTATATTATGAAGAGAGAACACAGCACACTACTGAATACACAGTAGGAACAAAGCCAGTCGAAGGGCGCGACAAGCGGGGTTCGAGAACACACTATATGACAGTGGAGCACATCACCCAATGCGGCAGAGGATGAGGACTATCGAATAACACCTATGAGTATGAACATTGACCTGACACATCTAACTGACATCTAGTGGGCGGAGAATGAGCGTCATCAAATATGCCAGTAACGAAGTTCCGGAGAATGAGACTGCCAATTGCCACAGGGATTCATCATCAACTTCCTGCCTTAGAAGTGCAGCATGGATAATCATAGTTCTAGCTTTGGTTACTACAAATCTAATGGCTACCTCAGAAACACCATTCTCCCATTTGGCACCGGTCGCAAAATATTTAATTGATTGATTGAATAGGTTGGTCCCTGACAGAAATGTTGGACATTATGGTCTTTTGGTTTTTGTAGATGCCATTGTCAGCGTGATATGATTGAACCACAACTCCATGTTCGAGTCACCATCTTTCGTATGCTTCTTTGGCCTTGATAGAATCAGAAGCATGTCAAACATGTAAATCTGTGGTGGGCAAAGATGG